CAAATCAAAACAGGCGCCGTTTAGTTTTGTTTTGAGATGGATTACCCTGACGAAAAACAGATATTCGGTGCAAAGGTGACAGAAAAAATAAGTGAATATCTCGCGAGAGAACCTACATACAACAGAAAAGAGAAAGGTATACGATAAGATGACAGGAGCAGGGAACGGTGACACAATTACTTAACGTCTCATGTCCTCAACGGTGATAACCTTGCCCAAGCTCAATTTACAAAGCGGGGATATTGTATACAGAGGAACACTGTAGGCCCCAGCTGCGAACATTTTTCATGAAAGAGATCTTTAAAGACTTTGGCTTACCCATGAGCATCGGTCATCCCTCCCATGGCCATGTTGAGCAATTGAGGCTGCCCGTGACTCACACCAGGTGACCCTGCGTCCTGAAATGTACCGTCGAGATAAACTTTACATTTTTAATTACGTAACAAAAGGTGTGTAGAGAATAAGATGCTATATTCCAGACATTTCTGCGATTTTTATTTTTGGTTAACTATAAAACGTACGGCTTCGCATAATGATACGTTCACCTGCAAATCTCCCAAAAACTCACATCTAAACATATTCGGGAAAGGCTCTAAAATGGGAATGTGATGCATGTGAACACGATTCTGAAGGTCAACACAAAAATCCATTTGGGAAAGAAACCATTTTTATGCTCATTTTTGGAAAAAAAAACAATTGTTCTATCCGTCCCACGAAGCAATACTTCCACCACATGTTTTTGCCCGACGAAGCTTTGCAATTCTATCCCCTCCAGCCCCATAGAGATAGCAAAAGCAAAACCGCTGCAGACTTCCAAAGAGGAAAAAAGAGGCGCAGGGATTGTGAAGCTCAATTCGTGCTAAAGTTCGGTCGAAATCACTTCAATACAACAAGTTCCTAAAAGATCCTGCAGGAGCTGATCTTCAAGTAGCCCTGATTACTATCCGCCCGAGATAAGCGCCGTATCACGAGAAAACGATGCAACTCTACCGAGCCGGGTAGGAAATCAAGCTTACGCGCAAAGTATCGTCTAAATGAACGCAATCTGACGCGCTCTCGAAAACGTTCTTGATAATCTACGTCTAGATAATGAGCAGAGAATTTTTTTCTAAAAGGAAGTCGTAAGAAAAACGAAAAAAATTTTTCAGGAAGTGTTGCGATTGTAACATGGAGGAGAAGATATTCGGGATGTGGGCAAATAAGTTCAGATATTCTAGAAAATCGGTCAAACAGATGCTCGACTTTGGCCAACACTGGTTTGAGAAATTGTATGCTTTGCACTACAATTGTCCTTTCACAATGTTTTCTACTCATTCTCGAGTGGTATTATGAAGTCTCGAGAAGATAGGCGTCGGGTTCCTTGAGAATTATTATTTGTTTATTTATTTATGTCTATTGCAAGATGACACAGCCTTAAATTAAATGGGGGAACAGTAACACAATCTTCTATCAATCTTTATCTTCTGAAAAAGTTTTTGTTTCCGCAACCGCTTTGGAAAATTGCACTACCACTCTCTTAAGACATGGTGGTTATCTCCAGATAGAATCAGAGCTACTTACAGCTTAACAAAATGCAAGTTCCTTAAGTAATTTTTTCGTAATAAAGCGACCTCGATAAAATTTGAATGTGAATTGAAAGTTCGACAACTCCTGCCCTCTTTTGCTGAAAATTTCCATCTTTGGAAGCCTGGTTCGTTATGGTTTTGTTATCACCAAAGGAACTGAAGGGGATAATCACTGCAAAGTTTCGTCACGCAAAAAAAAACATGCACGAAATTATGTGGAGGAAGTATGAAATACGTAAAAGGAAATACCAGTATGCGGAGCGGCATATGTGACATAATGACTACAAATTAGTTCTACAGCATTTGCTTACTAGGGAACTTACCCCGTATTCCACAATCACATCGACTTGAGGAGGCAATGAAGTTCCGAGCCCATTATTCCTCATTATATTTGAGATGACCTCCTGATAGTAGATAATGAAACGCATGATACGAAAACATGTGTCGCTTAACCCACCGACATGAACGGCATATCGCCACCAGATTGAGTAATAACACCTCTAGCGAGTGAACCCAAAGACGGTACTGGTGCACGCTGATGAAGTTCAAGTCAGCGTATCGTATTTGAAATCAAGAAATCGCTATTCCATTAAACCAACCGGCAGTCTAGATGACATATGTTGTAGAGGAGAAAATCCGTCTGCCCCATTTTCAGATCGAGTGCTACCTTGGGATAACGCCTTGAATACAAAACGAATTGAAAACATGTAATAAGATGGAAAAAAGATCAGCAATCGGACCTGCTGAACAGAAGGGCTGCGCAATACACTAGCGACATCCACATTTTCTTCAATTGAAGTTTGCAGCAGTCTTCTCATTAAGCGCTCGTACGGGTTGGAGGACTCAAGTGCTGAACCAAACTATCAATGCTCCACCTTGATATATCGACTACAGCGTATAAAATTGCAATTGAAATTATTCTGCTACACATGTCCGAGAAAAGCATATAGATATGTACTCAATAGAGCGGAAAAATCAAACTATAAGAAAACTCACACGGCAATCCTCTTTCGAGAGTATTTACAAGAGCCTCTTCCAAAGACGAGATGGATGCAGTGCTATAAGGATAGTTATTCCCGCAATATTATACAAGCACAAAGCACTCACTACCTCTACAGCTCTATATAGAATCAACCTGAACGTAAACTGGCTGATTCTCTTCTTCTCTATGCTTATGAATGTACTCAAACGCACCTGTGCGAAGTCGTATTACTCGAGCTTCCCCCATGGGATACTTGAGAAGTACTTGATCGCGGATGATGTAAGTGCTGATTTGGTGAGATGGGACTCTGCTTGAATTTTGAATAATTTTGTTAACTTGCATTATTCATATTACTGGAAAAAAAACTTACTGCCATATCACCTGAAGATAGGGCCATTTCCTGGCGCAACGTAGGAGTCAGCCCGACACCTAAACCTAGCCGTGGACTCTGTTGAGGGACGAAGGAACTCAAAAACATAATTCAACTAACTGACCTAAAAGATGATAAAAATCAACAAACCTGTAGATGGCTGTCGAGGATTCCACGGTACAGCACCGCCTCTACGAGAAGGCAGGAGACGCCGTGGCGCAATCATCCGAGAGTGACCAGGAGGACCGCCGGTCTGTGCAACAGTCGTTACAGGGATAGGAACAGCAATACCCATCTGATGCATTCTCCGGACTGAATGAAATTCTTTGAGGAATTACCCCTTCACTGAAAGCCTTTGAAACTAACTTGCTGGATTCATCCCCATTATTCGAACTTCACCACTAGACAGCTCTTGCACGTCCACACCTCAAAACAAAAAGATTAGAATTAATCATGTTATCAATGGTGTTGAAATGTCGCGAACCTGGTGGAGGGAAATCCAAAAACCTCCATGAAGGTTCACTGGAAGTAGCTTCGCTGGCAGCAGATCCTTGAGTTGGATGAAACTCCAACACTATTTCCCCCTGAACATACCACTGCCAGATGGATGCAAATTCATTTGTATGTAGTAATATAATGTAACAATTATCCAAAAATACCTCAGTGGGAGGTAATAGCCGAAACTGCTGGTAATTTGGTAGGAGCCGTCTAGGCATCGGGGTGTGCAAGTAAACACTAAGATCACTTGTAAGGTGCCATGCGTGAGATAATCGATGTACCACCCTTTGCACGTGCTCCATGTAGACAGTGAAAAAGTTCGCGCGATAGTCGGTGTCAGTATGCTGCAACGAAGAACCCTATGAAATTCGATAAAACTACGAGCTTGCAAAGCCTATCGACAAGAGGCGCAGTTTACCTCAGCATCGTCTATGTTGTAAAGTATACGTGAGTTCAGTATCCGCTCGAAGCGAATCAAATGTGGGCGAAGTGCGTCCTCTTCGTTCCTCAACCTTCTTAATATGTCTACCAAATCCTGAGTGATGGCATGCCTGGAAAAAAAATACGCAGAATATGTTTTTAAAAATGCCTAGAAAGCAGAATCAAGTCGAAGCCCTTCGTACTCTTCTTAGCTTCACTAACCTCATCACGTAACCAGGACTTCCATCAGATTCGGCGACTGTTTGGTAACGAGCTGCATGTTCATCTGACTCATCTTCACCTGCGTCTTCACTTCCATAAGCATCTACTGCAATAAAAAGGTTTCAAGCGTAGTTTTTTTTATGAATTTCTCCAAAAAGTCACAAATATTCAGAACGGTGCTTACTAAGACGTGATCGAGACACTGACTCGCGCTCTAAGGAGAGAGCTACAGTTCGAACCTGCTCGTTCATAACGGCTGTGTTTCCTGGATCGTAAACGTGCGATGCTTCGAGAAATTCGTCAATTCTATCCGCTATTCCATCTTCAGCCTTGAATTCGTAGAAAATGGCATATCAAATCGAACCAGAGTACTACGTTTAGTTCAGCTCTTCACGGACCAAGATGCGGCCCATTAGATTGTATCCCAACAAATGAAATTTACGAGAACCACTTACCTCGACGATACTGCGAAAACGAGAAACCTGGTCGAGCAGTGTTCCAATGAGCGAGACACGCTCAAGGGCAGGCGAAGCGATATGGGGATTCCTAAAGCTACAGTGTATGAATTGAAACGAACATCTATTAGGATCAAAAGCTAATAATAGAGCATGTAACCTTTGCGTAGGAAGAGATATATGAAGAGTTTGGTCGTTTTCCCAACGTATACTAAAGCGGTTGATCTGATCTTGCGTAAGATAGGGCACATTGCTAATTGTTGAACGAACAAACTCCTGAAAGTTGGTTTAAGGAAATGTTTGCACAAATTTTGAATTAACTTATGTCATAAACCTCAATACGAGCGTTGTCGATCAGAATTCCACTTCTTTCGAAAGGAACCACATACGTGATACGTTCTCGCTCATTCCTGTACGGACCAAACATGTTTTGGAAGAAACGACCATGCTGATGGTGGTGAACATGACTTCCAGTATCACTTTGTTCACTCTGAGTTGGAGGGAAGGGCCTGAAATTGTGTAGAACTACCTGAGAGATTCGAAGCTTGAAATAAATTCCGCTTTTTGAATGAGCAGCAGTGTCCATGATCCTTCCTTCACGGATGGAGTTTTAGTTTGCGAGTTTTTTACATGCCGACCTTCTATGGTGTTGGCTTCAGAAAATTATGCATGGCAAATTGTGCTTATTCGGCAACTAGACTGAGATAGACGAGACTATATTTTCATTTCTCTAGACTTCCTCATATTACATACTATACATCAGTGTTAAGTTGAAATGCAGCAGCAATATGGAAAGACATTTCATGGAGTTCCGGTGCTTCCAACTATCAGAATGTGAATCAACGCAGAAGCACCTCAAAGGGAAGGAATTCCATGTTCCTATCCTTCACCGTCGGGTCTGCCAACATTACAAGTGAAAGTATTCTCAACAGACCTTTCATGCGAATCGTAAAGGGAGGTGCAAGCACAAATCAATCGGTTTCCCATGAATTGATTGGAAAGTAAAGGGGGAAGTTAAGGCATTGTATGACAAGCTGATCAGTCGGCCCAGACTATTTCGAAGGATGGACATGGACCCGCCGAATAGGAGGATCGAGTTCTCACTGATAGTGAGAGTGAGCAGTAAATACGAAAATGTCTCTTCGAAAAATCAATCGGGTGTGCGATACAACGGCAAGTATGCCGTTTCCAGTTGAGCAGCCCAACTAAAAGCACATTTTTGTGGCGGGGGAATGGGCACACTAGCACCCACCACTAGCCACCTTCCCTAAAAAATGATGAATGAACGATTCAGGAACTAAATCGAGTCAATCCTCTTCCACCTTCCGCACCACTAACTACTGAAATAGGTGCAAACGAAGAGAAGATAAACTAATGAGAACAACTCAAATCCACGGAAAAACAAACGCACACATTTGCTGGGCGCTCCACTAGATGCACAACGTGGCCATCCCGTAATCCGCATGCGGATAAGGTGCTGTTTTCATTCTTCAAAACATGACCCTGCAAAATAAAAGAGCAGTAATATCTTGTAACTTTCTTCTCGAGCAAAAGGGAAAAGTAAAAGTGGTGTTGGGATGCAACTCACGGCAAAAATCATACGCTGACGATCGGGAGGAATGTGAAGGCGTTCAGCAACTTGTAGACGGAAGTCCGACAGCAAAGTCTAAATGAACCTTCTCAAACCATTGCTTATGGTAGCAACAAAATATATGCATAAATTACGAATAAATGTGGACTTATGAAAAAGGAAAACGAGCAGAGATTGAGAGGGCACGAGAAAGTCTTGAAAAAAATGCAAACATTCTATCTTCGGGCTTCATGCGGGCAAAAAAAAGGAAGTACAACAGCTGAACGAATTTATTTCTCGACGTAGTAAGGTTTCGCAAGTGTGTTGGTCTCATGTCTTGTTTAGCAGAAGACGATGCTGAGAATTTCCGGAAAGCAGAAGAGAAGTTCGGAGATCATAACCACCAACGGTCGAAGATTAGAAACGCTGCCTTTTCAGCCAAAAAAAATCGAAGATCAGGTGGGCCGGACACGCCATGCGATTTGGGATGACCGCTACACCAAAGCGGCTAACGACAGATTTCCCAGCGAACATGGGACAACCTCCGACACAATGGCCAGACTTATCCTTCCAGCTCTAAATGAAAGGAGCTGAGGTGAATGTGTCCCTCGGGCGAGGAAGATTCACTGCAGTACTCTAGCACGTGACAGAAACAAATGGAAACGTTGCTGGCGTCTGCTCAAAGAACCTATGATTAACGGGATAGTATTACGTAGGAATTCCTTGCCGTTTTTGAGACCCAAGTTTCAATGCATTAATTCTGATCAAATTCTTGGCTGACCTCTACATTTTGCATATTGATAGGGAGAGCGTTCTACACCACAGAAACAATATCAGTCTTTCTCTATAGCGACCACTCCCACTTTTACGATGCCTTGAATACAACATGCTCAACGTGGAAACCCGCACGATTTTCTTCTTCGCACTATAATTAGGGCAGGAGGAAGCGGAATCATGTATCAGACCGACGTCATAGTCGGCGACGGAACAAGCGATGGAGCGATCGCGATCGCTCCATCGCTTGGTCCGTCGCCGACTATGACGTCGGTCTCAGCCGCTGACTGAAGAGCCGACTCTGCAAAAAGTGAACCTAGTGGGGTACTGAACGTTGCCGCAAAAGTCCTGTGCAATAGACT